TCTAAGAGCTGTATTTTATTTTAAGCCGACCCAGATGGTGTTTGTTTACCAGTGCACATGATGAAACTTACATTAGGGCGTGATGACCTATATATTTAATTTGCTCTACAGTTTTACTTTAAAAACAGTGATGGTTATAATGTTTAGCTTTTTGTTGAACATTTTCATTCCTCATTTATAAAGTGTTTGAAGGTTTGACTAGAACAGTGTTTGCCGGTTTCTTTTTTCATTTGTTGAGTGCTTGTGTAATCAGGAATGAGATGTTTCTAATCCCTTAGGCCAGTCCTCTGACTCTCTGCCAGATGTTGCATGATAGCAAAAGAAAGGAGCGTTGAAACTAAGTCTATCAAGCGTTTCAACTCCATCACGACTCTCCCATTCTCTTCCCTTTCCCCCTTTAGCAGTTCAGCGTGGACGCATCCCACCTTCGCATTCAAGCCTAAGCCCATCCACGACTCCAGTGGGCGGCAATGCCGGCAGCGGCGTGAGCGAGTTCTACAACGGGCAGCCAGTGTCTGAGCTCATCTCCCAGCTCCTGCGGGCAGAGCCTTACCCTAACAGCCGCTACAGCCATCAGTACAACCAGCAGATGCAGGGGGGTGGAGGATCCATGGGCATCGACAGCATCTGCGAGCTAGCCGCCAGACTCCTGTTTAGCATCATCGAATGGGCCCGAAACATTCCTTACTTCCCTGAGCTGCCTGTATCTGAGCAGGTGGCCTTGCTGCGGCTCAGCTGGAGCGAACTGTTTATTCTTAACGTAGCCCAATCTGCCCTTCCCCTGCACATGGCCCCGCTGCTCGCCGCCGCAGGCTTTCACTCCTCTCCCATGTCTGCTGAGAGGGTGGTGTCGTTCATGGACCAGGTGCGTGTCTTCCAGGACCAAGTGGAGAAGCTAACCCGCCTGCAAGTGGATTCAGCAGAGTACAGCTGTCTGAAGGCCATAGCACTCTTCTCACCAGGTGCGCCAGACACGTTACTCCGATTAAACTGCATTTAACCGAACATAATCGGATCAAAGAAGATGTAATATTTGTACTCTATCCAAAATAGTAGAGAACAACGAGTATTGTGCTGGCAGTCAAATTCAAGCATAATACTAGCGCTCTCTACTGGATAAGACAAAATCTATTTTTCTCAATAGGGCCTTTCGCACCCGCTGGAACCTTTTCATAGTACCAGAACTAATTGTGGAACTACCCACTTTTTGGCGTTTTTTAGTATTTTGAACGCCGCACACAAATGACGTCGCTGTCGACCGGTTCCTAGTACACACTGTCGGTGCGAATGCAACCCTTTAAATGGTACTGGGAAATAGTTCGTGCAAAATCGTCCCAGTACTTTAGTACTGTCCATTTAGTTCTGGAACTAAAGCGGTGCGAAAGGACCTAAAGTTTCCTAAATGCGTTATGAAGAACCTTTATACTTAACAGATTGTTAGGAATAAGGCAAATTATAGGATAATACCTCCAGTATGCAGATATTCTGTCCTGTAGCATCATGTTTTTAGTTTGAGTTTACACTTATTCATTTGGCACTTGTATTCAAATGACTCTGTGCATTCAAACATTTTCAGTTTGTATGTTCCCAGGGACTTGAATCTATGCAGGGCTTTTTTTTCAATATGTTTGTTAGTCAAGTAGCAATCCAGCAATCTTTTGAATTTAGATTGATCAGAATTTAGGTTTATTCCATAATTTATATGTAATTAATAATATAATAATAATCATCATCATCATTAATTATCTAATGTTTAATTTATAACTTCTATTTTAAAACATACATTTTTTTAAATCATTCAAACTTATTAATTTATGTGTTTATTTTACAAAGAAAAATTATAATAAGTAATTGTAATAAGTAATTGCTGGAAATGATACTGTTATAATGTAAGCCATTAATTTCTAAATGATTGAAGTGCAGGCATACGTGGCTAAGCATTACTAATTAGTTTGTACTTAATTTGTAAAGCATTCTTGCAATTTTTACAAAACTTGCTAGCCTGCTAGATAATTTTATCTTGGTGACAAGTTTAAATCAGTATAATTTGCAACTACATGTTTAAGTTACCAAAGCTTAATAACAAATGATGGTGCAGCACTGGCCAAACTGGCCATAAGCTTACCTCAAACTCACACAGCGAAGCCGACTTTCCACTATCTCTGACATTCGCATACTTTTTTTCACATTTTGTCCCCAAACGGCGGATGCACTGAACCTTCAGACTGGTTATGAATTAGCCGTTACCTTCCATTTATTTACTATGGTTAAATAAATGAACAATACATGTATGCATACTGTATATCCACACAAAACAAATGACCAGCAATGAGTTTAAAGAAAAATATAGAAGGTTTTCTAGGGCTAAACATAAATTATGTAATTATTATAAAATAATAATTTTGCAACATGTCGGCTAACTCTAATTAGAGAATTAATAGACTGTTAGGTTAAGATTAGGTTAGTAGTAGGGCTGCACGATTAATCGAATGCGATTGTCATGCGCATTTTGTTAGTAATGCCGGTTCTGTAATCAGCAGTAAATCATCATCATGTGCTTTCAAATGGAGCAGCATTTACTACACAGAGTTCACTGACAAGTTACGCAAAAAATTCGATTTTTATTGCGCGATTATGAAATCGAAGAAATCGTTCGCGATAGTGACAGCTGTTTGCATAGCTTCTCAGTGAACTACGGCTCTGTGAAGTAAATGCTGCTCCATCTGAAAGCATGTGAAAATACCACATTTAATAACATATTTTTACTCAACTCACTTCATAACGTCAGTCGAGTGTTTGAAATAAATCCTTCTGTGAGATGCATGACAATCGCAGCTTCTGTTGAATCGCGATTTCGATTTATCGTGCAGCCCTAGTTAGTAGGATAAGTTACTAGTCAGTTGAATTTATGTTGATGACTAGTAGTTGACATGTAGTTGCAAAGTTATTTATTGTTAGGAGAATGTTGGAGTGGACTATTAAAATAAAGTGTTGCCATAAGTATTAATTACCACCACTTTACAGAAATATTATTTAAATATTTACAGTTCAGTCAAAAAATATTGGCAGTTCTCACCTCACAGTCCTAGTTTTGATTTAGATTTGATTCTTTAAATGCACCCGAAACTCAAATCGGATCTGAAAGTTCCACATACACATATGGCCCGAACTCCATGTACCTCTCGTACTAGTTTTCGTTGGAAATGAATGACTTTTCGCTCTGTCACTTGTGTGCGACTTGTCTCGAGCCAGCGGTCCATCCTTATTGTTGAGCCCTACCATGACCTTGGCATTGCTACCATCATTCTTTACCAGTTGACTTAGAGGGAGTCTAGTTTCATATCTGTAATACTCTGGTGTTCTTTGTGTTTAGATGCGTGTGGGCTGACAGACCCGGCTCATGTGGAAGGCCTGCAGGAAAAAGCTCAGGTGGCCCTGACCGAGTACGAGCGCATGCAGTACCCCGGGCAGCCCCAGCGCTTTGGACGCCTCCTACTGCGACTGCCCGCTCTGAGGGCCGTGCCCGCCAACCTTATCTCTCAGCTCTTCTTCCTGCGCCTCGTGGGCAAAACGCCCATTGAGACTCTCATCCGTGACATGCAGCTGTCTGGCAGCTCCATCAGTTGGCCGTATGCTCCCGGACAATAACCATTATCAGATGTGACCACGATACCAGTCTGAACTGACTGAACTCTGAACTGCACAACTAGTGAGGATCTCGGTGTAATTTCGTTTTTTTTTTCCAACCACACATTCACATCTGATATTCACTGTATCACCTAATGCAACAGGGTCATACTACGGGAATGGTGAATTCAGTAGTACATGGCAGAAGGCTTGATCTATGCTCTGTGAATGCTCTTATGTGGCCCAGAAGCATTCTTAAAAAATAACTTGAGAAATATTGGTTATCTGTTAGCCAAAGATAAGATGTAAGTTACAGTTTCATAGCGAGTTATTAAGTGGAAATTGGTTGAAACCCAAAACAAAAAGCTCTGTCAGTTGGGTGTGAGGATGAAAGTCACTTTGGACTGTCCCTGGAGGCAGCAGGAAATCAAGTCCCCCTCGTATTCTGCTCTGCCTTGTCCTTCTGTACCAGAAAGCCTGAAGGAGAAGGAAGTAAACATGATGACATCCAAAAGCCCAAACAAACCAAACCGAAACAGTCAGAATTGGGACTTAGGCATTTGTTTTGCCAATGATAACTACTTGGTTTGTATTTTTAGCAGTTTTTTTCCCTATCAATGCTAATGTATTTCTATGAGGAGAGATTGAAATTTGCAAAAGCTAATGCGAGAGATTGGATCATGTTTTGTGAAATAATCATTTGTGACCCTGGACTACAAAACCAGTCTTAAGTCACTGGGGTATATTTGTAGCAATAGCCAAAAAATACATGTATGGGTCAAAATTATAGATTTTTCTTTTATGCCAAAAATCATTAGGATATTAAGTAAAGATCATGTTCAATTAAGATATTTTGTCAATTTCCTACCGTAAATATATAAAAACTTAATTTTTGATTAGTAATATGCATTGCTAAGAACTTCATTTGGACAACTTTAAAGGCGATTTTCTCAATATTTAAATTTTTTTTGCACCATCAGATTCCAGATTTCCAAATAGTTGTATCTCGGCCAAATATTGTCCTATCCTAACAAACCACACATCAATGGAAAGCTTATTTATTCAGCTTTCAGATGATGTATAAAAGGGTCACATTTGAAAAATCAATTGCGGACTGTATTTGTACTTTGAGTTAAGGTACAGACTTATCTATTTGAGAATGATTTATTTTTCTTTACTGCACGCTGCTGCATTTGAGATGACAAATTAAGTAGTTATGCTTTTTTTTTTCAGATGAAAAACCAGTTAACTTTCTTCATGCAAGTTGTTCATCTACATGCATAAGACTGTCTTCTACTTGTTTTATTCTGCTTTTCTTGCTTTTGTTTTTTTCATACTTACCAGATAATGCTAAACTGGTATGTTTTTTTTTAACCTGGTATGATTATGTATGTCGACCAAAAGAAATACCTCTACAGTCTGTTGAGACTCAAACGGACTTTCTGTCTTTCATGGCTGGGTCAGTTTTTACATTTATCATCCCACTTGAGCTGCTCACTTTACACTAAAGAGGAGTGATTGGATCTATCTGTCTATGTTTGTGTTACAAGGCCGTTTTTGGTAAGAAACTGGCACTGCCTGACTGTTTTGTCTTTTGTGGAGCAGTGCTCTGGTGGGCGTTTTACAGGTGACTGCATGTTGTATTTGGCTCTTGTTGTGAGATGTAAGTTTTCTAGCCTTATCATACATGTGAATGACTAATATTACCTCATATTTAGGCCTTGAAACGTATCAGGCGGTCTAATATACATAAACGCATCAAAACGGCAACATGTACAGTTTTCATTTTAATATCTTTGTCTTTTTAAATACTTGTGTATGACAGCTTGATTAAACAAAAGTATCATACATTGAATTTTGTACTTGTGAGAGCTTTTTTGCCTGTTACCCATCCTTACAAAGGTTTATATATATATATATATTCATTCAAATAGTAAAGAGATAATTTTACAGGAAAATCAAAAATATTTACAACAACTGCAACTTTACAGACACAACTCACTCAGCACAGCTTGTAAATGTCTAGACAAATAGTGGCGTATACAGTGAATGCATACATGTGTACAGTTTTAGACAAAGAAATCCTGATGATCAGCAATGTTAGTCTTCTCTCTCCTTGCAAAGCATCTGTCATAATTTTTCACCAGTTGCTTGATATGACACAGCTCCTGCCTCAGTTTTTTACACCGGAGCTTCTTAGCCTGGTATTCTGGAGACTGGAGAAAGGAAATGGGTATTAGGGATCACATCATGACTACATTTAGACCATTAAGGCTAACCAGTCTCTTAATACTGATGGATAAAATATAAACTGTATTGAGAAATATTTTTCCTTACCCGCTTCAGATCCTTGAGTCGATTATATTCATCAGCTACAGCCTGTGATACAAAGACAATATATATGGGTTGTACTGAGTTCATATCATATAAAATGTAACACAGATGTATAGATGTCTGAGTTGACATTTATATATATATATATATATATATTTTTTTTTTTCTTTCCTTTCTTAGCTTTATTATTTTTACTTTATTGGTTTTTGATGCCTACCTGGAACTTGGTGGATTCCTCATGGAGGGTGTCCAACTCTCGGCTCAGTTCATTCATTTGATCGCTGATAACATCCATTTCTACACAGAGGTTCTTATATTCAGCGAGGCAGATATCAAACTGTTTCTTGTACTGTGTGCGCTGTTCATCGGTTGTAATTTCTGAATAAGAACTGTAGCAGGAAAAAAACAAGTAACCATATTGCAAAACAATCTGCTATTCAAACAGTAATAGTAAACCAGATTCTCAACTGATTCTCGATTTGAGCAGAACAACATACTGTATAAGAAGGATAAGAAGTATTCATGATAGAAACTCACTCCTCCAACTCATATGCGTCTAATTCAGTGGCCGAATCTCTAGCAGTGGTGTAGCCTGTCTCACATAGCACATCCTCAACCTCGTACGTTACAGGTTTCTCTTGCACTGAGCTGCTCTGCACTTCAACTTCCTCCACAGGGTTAAAGCTCAGCCACCGATTCTGGTACAATGGCTCTGGGGAGCAACCGTTCACGTTCTCAGAATACCTTTAAAACAAAGTGCAATGAAAAGACTAGTGTGCATTTGTACTTGTAAGAATTTCTCGTCATGAACATGGTCAGAAAGATGGCTGTACTCACACATTGCTTTTGTATGCTCCCTCGCTGTAGATGCTCACTGTTCCCTCAGTGTGCGAGGTGAAGCTGTTCTCTGCTTTCACATGAGGGGAAGCCTTCTCTGATAAAACCACAGTGGGGGTGTATTGAGTGCTTCGCTGGAACAAACAATGTAGAAGTGTTAATGGAGCTGGAGAACCACAGAACAACATGTAATAAGTCAATTTGAGTCTGACACTACCTCTGAATGACCTGATGGGAAACTAGACGAGACTGGAGGACAATCAGAGATACCATCACAAATTTCTCTGAACAATACTGTATCTTAAGAGACCACTTGGGCAGTTTTATATCACACAATACACCAAGAAACTGTAAATCCATCACAGCACAATTATCCCACCCTCATGCACATCATGACTTCCTCTAATGAAGCGCAATTATTTCAGTTTTCAGGAAGCACACTTGATGAGAGCGGCACATGGCATTACCTGTGTATTGTCTTAACAACAACAAACAACATCTGAGGTCATTTTCAGGAAAGTCGCTGCATAGTCCAAGAATTCAGAATGACCCAGTCTGAAGTCTCACCTCACAGTGAACCAAATAAAATAAACTTTATTTATTAGGCCTAATAAATAAAACTGCTGTTATTTAGTTGACCTTGTATACTATAACTATTTTTTCCTGATAATTACACCAGAAGCTATTCTTTACAAGCTGTAATAAGTAGAAACTTACCTAAAACAAGCTAAAGCAAATGTACATTTGGATGAAATTATCAGTCAGTTATTGCTCAAGCTGTTGTCTGTTTCTATAAAAATAACATCATGTATCACCATATAGTAACAGGAATGCAAATTATATGTGACTGTCGAGAGGGCTCAGTTTGCTACCTGACCTTTGTTCAGTATCTGTCATTATGAAGAGAGAAATTCACTTAAAGGGGTCATATTATGCTGCTAAAAAGAACATTATTTTGTGTATTTGGTGTAATGAAATGTTTATGCGGTTTAAGGTTCAAAAAACACATTATTTTCCACATCGCTTTCACAACGAAACAGCGCCTTCACGACATGGCGGCGGCTACAAAAAACTACTACAGCGAAAATAAAAGTTACGCCTTCTTTCTTTGGGTGAACATTTGGGCGGCGTTATGCAAATCTTCCCACATCGTGACGTAGACATGTGGGGGCGTGTTAGAACGAGCCGTTTTAGGTAGGCGTAGGCGTCTTTGCAACTTTACAGATCTTCTTTATGCACTAAGAGCTTGTAACACTCCAAAGAGAAAGGAAAAATTGAAATCGCATCATATGACCCCTTTAAGAAACATTGTAAATTAGTGAATGATTAACACAAAAACAATTCAGATCATATGATTGATTTCATTGTATGCCACTGGTTTTGCACTATATTTAAATAATGTAGCCCTCAGTTTCATTCACAAAACCTCCACAAAACATATCACCACAGTCAAAATAAATAAATGAATTAATGATTTAAATGAGAAATAATAAAAAAAAGTGTTAAACTTTATACACATCAAATAATCCTGAAAAAACGCACTATAGTTTACACAAAATATTAATCAGAACAGTTGAGTCTTTTTTTTTTCATTTTGCTGCAAATTTCATAAGCAATTTGTACATTTTCGAAAACTTTTAGGTCTAATCTCACAACAGATCATCAAAAAATGCACTTTTTGTTTTTCAAAAATTTCATCTTGTTTTCAATTGTGCTAGTAGTACAAAACAAACTTTTCACAACAAAATAAATGTAAACATTTCATTCGCAGTATAAAGTATGTAGAACAATTAATTATTGATACAGTATAAGCTATTTAAATCGGATAATAACCAGAATGTTTAAAGTGTATTACTGTAATGAAAGCATGAGATCTAGGTTTGAAAGATGGACTAGCAGTGTTACACGTGAGATCAAAATGTACACCTTTCATGTGAAAATTGCACCAAATAAAAAATAAGAAACGTTTCTTGAGCAGCAAATCAGCATATTCAAATTATTTCTGAAGGATCATGTGACACTAAAGACTCAAGTAATGACTGCTGAAAATTCAGCTTTGCCATCACAGGAATAGTCCTAATGATATGACATTTCCGATTTTACATTTTTCATTTCCATAACTTCTGAGAATCCAAAAAGGTCCAAATTTTGATAAAAAACATTATGACAGCCGTGTTAATGTTAGTTACGACTGAGTCGCCTCCTGTTACCGTTTTGACGACAAGCAGGAAAAGTTCATGGGTCAGTGACTACATTGAAATGGTCTGTAGTCCTACATAAAATGTTTCGCAAACAAAACTTTCATAATGCATTGTATATCCGAGGCCTTGCATTATTCTCCTAGTGCATTTTTGGGTTCGATTAGGATCGGGTGTCTCGGGTTGCAGTTTGCTATCCTAAAATGTCTAAACAAGATACAATATAATCTATAATCCTAAACAGGACGCAAAACCTCTGGACCAGACTTGACCCAAATCTTGCTTCTCTAATCCTAACAATACTAATCAAGGAGTTTGTGATATTTTACACATATTATCAGCTTTAAATACTGGAAAAATAAATATGGCAGGAAAATTGAATGTCAATAGCAATGACCTCAATAAATCTGCAAAAAACAAACAAACTGCCACTTATGAACTCACCCAGTTTTGTGAATTCTGGCTCCTGTTTGTTCTGAGGATAGGCGGTTCCTCCCAGTAGATATTAGGTTTGCCATGACGCCATATTTTGCTTCGAGTCTTATAGGCAAAATAGGCTGCAACAACCAGGGCAATCATGACAAACAGCCCACATACCAGAGCCACAGACTAAAATTAAGAAGACAACACTGATTTAAACGTTACAGTGACACTACAGGCACAGAGGAGGTAAGAAGTGAGAATTACAATATAACAAATAAAGTTTCCGAAAAGGAAGCTTTCGCACCAGTGCCATAGAAGAAACATTTTAGGTTCCCAAAAGAACCTTTCGGTGAACAGTTTTTTAAAGAGCTATGTATTTCTTAGTCTGAAGAACATTTTAATAATCAAAAAACCTTTTGTGCAATGGAAACGTTCTATAGATGTTTCTTCATGGAACCACTGATGCCAATTAAAGCACCTTTATTTTTAAGAGTGTATGTCTTGTCATACTGACCTCCTCAGGATCCATGAAGCAGTAGTGATGAAGATATCGATTAAAGGACGGATATGCCCCTGGGAAGCCTGTGCCGGCTCCGGCACTGATGCTGGGAGTCCCTAATGAGGTCTGACACATCATCAGGATGGGGTTGTACATGATGCTTTGTGAACTCTGGGCCATGGGATTCACCCCAATGACGAATACGATGTCTATAATACACTGAAGAATCGCCAGAACCACATCCACCACCAAAACTGTCAGGTAAAACGTTTTTCCACGCACACACCAAGTCTTTGAGAAACTAACCACTAGGATGGCTAAGGATACTACGAAATTAAGAGCTGCCATGGAGATCATGGCTGCCTTTGCTGAGTAGGGTGTCATATAAGAGCTCTGATAGCCGTAGGTTCCTCCATAGTACCCAGACCCCATCCCATTGCCCCCAGATCCGGCAACATAGGCCCCGATGCTGCCCTCGTAGCCGTGCATATCCCAAACTAGAGTGGAAGCAACACAGGCGAAAATAACAAAACAGAGCAGAGCAGTCAGTCCCTCCATAGTTTTCACGATGCCAGGTGGTGAGAACCATCTGTAGAAGTGCTGAGGGTTTCCCTCCGTTTGAGGAGCATCAGGCACTGAAGAGTATAAGCCATACTCGCTTCTTTGAGAGTAGCAACTTCTGGATGTGTACATATTTGATGGGGCAATGTAGTGTGGACTGTACTGAGGTGGACTATCATACTCCTGTGTTTCATACATGATTCATGAAGGAATCTGAAAAAAGAAATGAGATCAAATTTAGATCATGAGATCATTTGGGAACAGATATAGCTTTCTGAAACCACAACCATAATTATTTTTCAGACAAATATCTGCTGTCTTTTGTTTTCATTTTTAATCACAAATCTACATGGACAAGTAGCTATCTTATATTAGTGGTAAGAAGACCACTTATTGTTATTGTAAACAAAAAAAATGTAAACTATTAAAATCATAAATATAGCTGAAATCAAATAAAACAAAATATATACAGTGGGTACGGAAAGTATTCAGACCCCCTTAAATTTTTCACTCTTTGTTATATTGCAGCCATTTGCTAAAATCATTTAAGTTTACATTTAC